TGGCAAGCGATCACTGATTGCTTTGACCACAGTCAATCTCCAAAATCATCATCTACTTCTACAGACCTATGGAGAGGTGACACATTGTTGTTATTGTTGGACAGCACTGAGCAGCTCTTTCTGTGGCAGGCTGCAGCACCCACAATGTGGGCAGAGGTCTTTCCTTCGAACTGCTGTCAGACTCCACAACAAAGACTGAAAATGACCACACACGCACAGACAGAAACACACATAACCAATAAACCATGGTAGCCTTCGCTAGTCTCGCTTATGTGCAGTGTAATCTTTCTGACAATTATTTTACATATTATTTTACTCTATTTCAGTCTTTCTCAAACTGTGTTACTTGGGCTCTCTCTGGTGATACACGGGAAATCTCTATGCAAAGATGACACAAGAGTTCCCGAAGCTCTTCTGGGAGCTGGAGTCAACCAGAAAACATTTCCTGGAGCATGAGTCCTCTATAAAGAGCAGCCTTTCCTTATCGCCAGCTACACAGCGCTGGCAGGCTCGTTTCCCTGGCCTTAAAACTGCAAAGGCTGCACGGCGCTGTCACGCTGATGGTACCACCTCATAAAATATATGGCTCTTGAAGTACCACCCTTATGAGCGACGTTAAAGTACAGTAGTATACGCCTAATTAACACCACATAGAGTTTAGACAAGACAATTTTATTTCTTATATGAATGTTATGTATTGTAACTGTTATAAACAGGATGTGGTAATTGATAATAATAACAACCGTACTGCATTAAAACATTCACAGCGGGTGAGATATCTGGTCCCACCTGATGATCTACAAACCCTGCTTCTGGGTCAAAACTATTCCGCGTTTATCAAGGCAGTTGTGTTTGTAACATGTTTTAATGCTTTGTACTTTGTTCTATTTAATCTGAACAAGCCCCTAAAAAAAAGCAGTGATCACTGTCGGCCTCTCTCGGTTTTTATTACCACTGTTTATTTTAAAGCTCAGTTTTTAAAACTTTATGATGTAACTACAGCCCAGCCCATGTAGCAGTATATTAATTGCTAACCTTGTATTGTGGATGGATTGTCTCAGTATTTCTCCTGACTGAAGTTTGGTCTGTTTACATCAACCCGACATGTGATTGGATTTGTCCCTAAACATCGGGAACCCTCGCGTTAGCGTTCATAC